TGCCATCGACCGGACAGATGACCACAACAGCAGTTCCTCTGCAGACCACAAGACCCAGAGTTCTGGTGTCGTCCGTCAGCTTATAGGGATCGTCCGGATCTGTATTGCCATTGGTTTAGATGATTGTGACCAGAATTCAAGTGATTTCACTCACCCCTCAATAGTTCTATAGTATTATCCAAAACCAGATTCAGTAAGGGATCAAATCCTTTAAGAATACCACTCGCTGTGAGACAATTAGACATTAGACAAGGGATCTAGTGGTGGTGTGTTAGGGAGGCCTACCTTCCCGTCCGCCCTGAAACTTGACGCGAATGGCTTTGTCTAAGTATTTTCCCAAATCAACGATACTCTCCTTCTTCTTCTTCTCCTGAGGTCCGCCCGAAGCCGTTCCTCCCGAAGACCGCTCCACACCTCCCGTCCCACCGCCGGCGCCCGCACTCGCACTCTATACGGCCACACAAAGTGACAATTAATGGCAAACAAAGTGACAATTAATGGCAAACAACGGATCAATCAATTGATATACAAACCGAAGACATGTCAATAAGTGTTGAATCAAATGTAAGATTAGTTTTGAAATGAAAATGTTTTGTAAAACACTTTCAAAACGCAAACGAAATTCAATTTAAAGATTCAAAACAGGATTCAAAACAATCAACGTTTCGATTTCAATGTGTTTTCAACACAATTTGCATTTCGTTTAGAAAAGTGCTTTCATTTCACGTCTGATCGCTCCCTTAGTGTGAGACCCCTTATAACATGCCGTCACTTCACTGTATGACATGAATACGCATTAGTATTGCATACGATTGCGTTGGATGTGATTCAGTGGAAACAAATGAACAGAATTGTGAGATTAGGTGTGAATTGACACTGAAATACAAACACATATTTTCAATGCAATCGTAGCACTGGTTTTGACAACATTTATGTGAAAAACATTTGTTTTTGTTTTTACGATGAAAACAGTGTTTCATTGAATCAGTCATTGATTTGTGGTTTCATTTAAACGACAATTCAATGAATGTTTGAATTATTTGTGAAATACTTTTGAAATTAGTTTCGAAACCAAAGAAAACAATGAGTGAGTCGTCGACCAGCTCTTCGGCCAACTCTTCAGATGACGAGCAGTTCTACGACGCCATCAACGATGAAGAGGTGATCCGATGCGACGCCAATCACCACA